CTGGCTTAAACTCCAATAACTGCCTCCTCAGGCAACCTCCTTGATTTCAGTTTTGTCGTCTGTAAAATGGTCATAACTGTAGTTACCTCGTGTTCATTGTTGAGGATTAAAGTGACACATGCAAAGCTCTAGAGACAGTATCTGGAAGGTGTTAGCGTGCAGCTCAGTGTCAGTTTTTAAAATCGTTTCGTCTCCGTCATTTGTACGCGACTTTAATAACCAGCCTTTTACAAGTGGAGAATGCTGAGCCTCTTGACTTCTTCCCATTAAGAGTTATGTAGATGTTTAATCATCGGAATAATGTGATGTCATAGGCTTCTGCTCTGTGCTTTCCTATTTTCATTTCCCTTAAAAAGATAGGTTGTTGGTGTTTGCTCCACATATGTGATCTAGTATCATCCACGTATTGGTTGAAACCGGTGGTCATTTCACAGTCGCTGCCATATGCAGGAAGTCTTAATTCTCTGAGACTTCTGTCTTAAAAAAAGACTCATTGTGATCCAGATCTCTACGTTGATAAAAGCAGATGAAAATAAGTATTTCTTGGAGAATAGGGAGAGGGTGTATGGATGAAACGATAAATCCTGTGGTTTATAAACTTTTCTAGGTTGATAAAATTTCATTTGAAGAAGTAGTTTACTTTACATTGGAAAGCATCCCTCTTTATTCTCCATCCCCATGTGTGAAACTGATAAAAAGTAGAGCTGTTCCTGCTGGCACAGGGCTGGGGGCCACACCTCTGCGGTCAAGTCAGTTCCTACTCATGGTGCCCCTACAGGACAGAGTAGAACTGCCCCATGGGGTTTCTAAGACCGTAATCTTTTTTTTTTTTTTTTTAATTGTTGTACTTCAGGCGAAGGCTTACAGAACAAATAGTTTCCCATGAAACAGTAGCACATACATTGTTCCATGACACTGGTCAGCAACCCCACAACATATCAACCCTCTCCCCTCTCGACCCTTTTCTTTTTTGGTGAAAACATACATAGCCAAAGACATACCACCTCAAAAATTTCTACATGCACAGCTCAGCGACATCGACCACGCTCCTCCAGTTGTGCTGCCATTCTCACTTTAGTTGAAGGCTTACAGAACAAAATAGTTTCTCATTTAACAGTTAGTACACATGTTGCCCTATGGCAATGGGTAACAACCTCACAACACATCAACACTATCCTTACTCAACCTTGGGTTCCCTATCACCAGCCTTTCTGTCCCCCTCTGCCTTCCGGCCCTTGTCCCTGGACTGCTGTACCTCATCAGTCCCATTTGGCCTTATGGGGCTGTCCACTCCCCGGCTGAACAGTGAACCCCGGAAATGACCTCACCACCAAGCCAAAAGGGTGTCTGGGGGCTACACTCTCGGGGTTTCTCCAGTCTCCTTTAGGCCAGTAAATCTGGTCTTTTTTTTTGTGAGTTAGAATTTTGTTCTACATCCTTCTCCAGCTCTG